AGAAAATATGAAATAAGTGATTACTGCGCAACCAACAGATATTCTGACAATTAACCCACTTCCTTATAGAGAAAAACTATTGATAGAATACGTACGAAAATCCAGTTTTCTAAAATTTTCGCGGCCCCCGGACGCAGCACGAAAATATGACAAGAAGAGAGGGATTAATTATGTTTACGATAAACCTTTTTTTCGCGGCCCCCGGACGCACCACGAACTAGATACTCACATACGTTAGACTTAGATTTGCAAGCAAAAAAAAACAACAACTATAATGGGGAGGTACGCATGATGAACAAAGCATTAATAACATTAATCAATAGTAATTTGATATAACGTGAATGAAAAAAAAGCGAAGCGAATGAGGGGCGCGTGTGGCACTCTCTAGTGAGTAGACTTACTCAATAGGAGTAGAATTAACTCACAGGCCAAATGTACAAATTATAGATGGTAAAGACAAATGAAAAGGACAAAATACACGTACAGGCGGACACATACTTGTAAATTAAAATAATTTTGTGCGAGAAGTACACAAAGAAAAGTTAATATGAAAATAGCAAACGAAAATAAGAATGAACAAATAACAATTTTCTTTAATACCCGATTGACTTCATTGTAAAAAAAAGAAATTTTAGCAATAATTGTTAGGTAGAGAGGAGCATGGAGGAATGATAAAAAATAAATAAAACAATTTCAGGAAAAACAAAATAATTTTTTTAAAAGGCTCACGAGCCCACGTCGAGTATGCGAGATTAAACCTCCTCTTCTTCCTTCCTTCTATAGTTCTCCATTAGAAACAATTCTACTCCTCCCATCATGATATACTAATAACCACAACACCTGAAACGTCACACATAATCGTAACGGGATATAGAATTGACTGCCATGTCTAAATTAACGAATAGCCCGTTCGTCAAACCGTCCACCTCAAAGTTAATATAATTTAGCAAAAACTACATGGACCAGTACTTAATCGTTTATGTAAGGGAGACTAAAAATAATGCACCCAGATCACCGCTCGACGATCGAGAGGAATAATCGACCACACCCAGATGATAACTATAATAACAATAATTACAATAATTACGACAGGGGTTATAAGAATGGCCTAACGGAGCCATACAATAGTATCAACAATCACAATTACAGGTGTAATGATTACAACTCTAGAGGTTACAATTATTACGACAACCGTGGCAACGGTGACGCGTACAACAATTATAGCAGGGGCACATTCAACCGCTACGGTAACGGCTAAATAAATCAGGATAGCAGGGATGGCTATAATAGGGATCTAGTTAGGCATGGGCCGCCACAGGAGAGGAGCCCACAGCAGCGAGAAAGCGGCGCATACACTCCGGATAACAGGAGAGACCCTCCCGTAGCTTTAAACTCGCAAGCTGTTTGGTGTGGTCCCCAAACGTCGAGTATCAACTAGAGAAAGAGATAGAGAAAAGTGTGTCCGGTGAGGAAGAATGTGTGAGAGAGAGGCCGCAAAAAGCGGTGAAAGAGATAGTAGAGAAGAAGACGCACAACAACAGTCCGAGTACTTACACAGCGCAAGGAAAAATAGAAAGTAATACGGCAGAGCAAGATGACACTCCGATACAACGGAGCGGAAAACGCATAAGAAAAGGCAGGAGAGCCCGCAAGAAGAGTAATCGGACAAAGGCGCCGGACACACATGTAGATAATGATGAACCCGAGCTTTCAGAGCGTGACGAAGAAATAGAGCAGCTTCCGAAGATAACTATAAAACTCACGAGAACAGGGCATATGCCACCATCGGTCCAGTTACAGGGACCACAGTTAAAGAATGGAAAGGCGACTTTTTATGCGGATACAGGCGCAGAGATTTCGATTGTAAAGGTTAATTTTCTAAGCACAGACATGCTAATAGACAGTAGGTATCGAGTAGCTATTATCGGCGTGACTCACGGAGCACGCAAAACGTTGGGCACAGTACAGGCTCAGTTGCACGGATTAGAGTGCACATTACATGTAGTCCCCCATGACTTCCCAATTGACGCGGAAGGAATCATAGGGTGGGATATTTTTAAGCGATACCGGGGCCAAATAAGCGCCGCCGAGAATACGATTAAATTGGATAGCGTAGAGATACCACTGGTAAGGCCGGAGTGTTTTAAAATACCTGCGAGATCGAGGCAAGTAATTTATGCGCGAATAAGAAAAAGCAAAAATAATTCAGAAAATGGCTGGATACCCCTCCAAGAAATGGAGGAAGGAATATTGTTCGGAAACTTTATAGCCAGGAATGTTAATGGTAAAATAGTCGCAGAGTGCATTAATACAAGTAACGAAATAAAATACGTGCCTGTTCCGGAAGTAGAGCTGCTAGAATATGGGGAAATTTACCGGAAGCGCGCAGAAGACGTCAAAGGGGACGACGTCGAAAGCTTGGGGGAAGCAATGATAAGATTATTTAATAAAGAAAAAAGAGATGACGAGGAAAAAATTGAAATTTTTACAAAAAACGAAGGGGAGCTAGAGAAACAAAAACGGGTAGACAAAATAATGCAACTCGTAGACACAGCTGGTTGCAACAAGGAAGAAACAGAACATGTGAGAAGACTGATCGAGTCAAACCCTTATGTATTTGGCCTCGACGGTGAGCCTCTCAAGGCAACACACCTGATAAAACACCGAATTATAACGACGTCGGATAAACCCATCGTAGCGAAAAGATTCAGATATCCACCAGCAATAAGGGATCAAATGAAAGTCGAAATTAAAAAAATGCTTGAACAAGGGATAATTGAACCCTCCACCTCCCCGTATAACTCAAATACATGGATAGTGGCAAAACAACCGGGGCCAAACAATGAAAAAAGAGTAAGAGTAGTCACAGA